ATCAAAGAAAACAAGTATAACATTACTATCTTTAGCATAATGAGTAATAAAACTGACTTCCATAATAAAGAAGTATAAAATCTCTACCTTTGGCATAATAAGGTAGAGAGCTAGTATAAAATAAGCAAGTATAAAATCTTGTATATTCTAGTGCAAGTAATATATAGTTGTATGTTTACATCTGTACATAATAGCAGCATGAGGCTCAGGGACAAAGTCAGTAAAGTGGCAGTGGACATTATGAAAGATATTTGTGCGCAGAAGAGTAAGTAAAGTAAAGTGACAGTGACATGTAGTTCTAGAAAATTCTCTGCCCGTAACTCCCTATACCGCCACCAGAGGGAGAAGTTTAATTTGTTTTGTTTATTTCTAAAATTGTTAATGACGACAGAAAACACAAACATGTGATTGTCAAGATTGTTTTTTCACTTGAGAAATTGACCAAATTTAGGAAAAATACTTTTGTTGTAAAAGACAGAAAACTGCTCTGCGTGTGATGTCATAGTGGTACAATGACATCACACTATTACAGGACTGAGACAGGAGCTTTTAGACAGAAGGGGCGGAGTCACATGTTTGTGTATGAAGTTACTAATATTAGCGTGGATGGATCGAAAAACAACTCCAGGTCTGTTTGCGATGAGGGAACCACATTGTAACGTGGTTAAAAACTGATAAAAGTCGATTTGCATAATGTCTCCTTTAAAACGATCGAGGTGGGATGACATCTGGACACCTCGTTCAGCTCAAAGCTAATTGGATTCACTTTTATTCATTCTATGCTTGTTTTCTGCAATATGAAAGATTGTGTTGTGAATAGCATCTTATATTGTCATCTCAAGGCAAGTAGAAGGCATTGGAAAATTGCTTTCACAAAGTAAACTAAGTGTGTCAAACCCTGAGGTTTTCACACAAAAAGAAAGAAAAAAAATCTTTTTTGAACTATAGAAATGTGAATTGATTTATGTCTATTTAATTATCATGCACAGTAACTTTGAGCCTCTGGAACAGAGGAGTATGAATATTGGCCATTGAAGTTGTAAGCAGCGCTCCCTTCATAATAATCTTACAATCTTGAGTTAGTTGATTCTCTCCTGTGTTATTCCCATGTGCCTTCTGACAAGTTAAATACTGAAATGTATTTACAGAAAAGTGTTTGTTTTTATGTGAAAGCATAAAACCAATATAACTTGTATGAGTCATTTGAAATATAACGGCACACTGCAGCATTCTTCAGACAAGACATGAGCCATGAGCCGGATGCGAGATTCTGTTTCTCCTTCTTTCAAAACGTTTTCTGGTTTGAATTCAATTCATTAATTTTCTTCCCTTTTATTAGTCCATTTCTGGATCAGGACGGTAACAATCACAGCTGCCCCCCAGTGCTCATAGCAACAGTCCCTCGCTGATCCTCCGGCAGGTGGTGGATCCACAGGAAGATGGCTGCTACATCAGTGGTGCTTGGTGTTTCAGCAGGAGCCTCAGGCAATGTGGGGTTAAGTGTCTTGCCCAAGGACACAACAACAGCAGACATTAGACATTAGAGCAGTTGGAGTAGGTCCTGTGGTGGTCCCGAACCCATGACTTTAAGGCCCAAAAGCCAATGCTCTACCAACTGAGCTACTGTCGCCACCTCAATTCTTTTCATGTTGTATTTAAATCACATCAGCAATCATCTCAGGACTTTACACAGTTAATGAGCCCAGTTTTTGCCATTTAAATGAATGTGACTATTTACTGTTTTGGAATGTGAAATAATAAACTTCAACATTTGGACGTTTTTTTTACTATACTTTTGAAGTTTATGGAAAAAATAACCATGTACAGTGGGGCAAAAAAGTATTTAGTCAGCCACCGATTGTGCAAGTTCTCCCACTTAAAATAATGACTCCACTATGGCCAAGACCAAAGAGCTGTCGAAGGACACCAGGAAAAGAATTGTAGACCTGCGCCAGACTGGGAGGAGTGAATCTACAATAGGCAAGCAGCTTGGTGTGAACAAATGAACTGTGGGAGCAATTATCAGAAAATGGAAGACATACAAGACCACTGATAATCTCCCTCGATCTGGGGCTCCACGCAAGATCTCATCTCGTGGGGTCAAAATGATCATGAGAACGGTGATCAAAAATCCCAGAACCAACGGGGGGACCTGGTGAATGACCTGCAGAGAGCTGGGACCAAAGTAACAAAGGTTACCATCAGTAACACACTACGACGACAGGGAATCAAATCCTGCAGTGCCAGACGTGTCCCCCTGCTGAAGCCAGTGCATGTCCAGGCCCATCTGAAGTTTGCCAGAGAGCACATGGATGATACAGCAGAGGATTGGGAGAATGTCATGCGGTCAGATGAAACCAAAGTAGAACTGTTTGGTATAAACTCAACTCGTCGTGTTTGGAGGAAGAAGAATACTGAGTTGCGTCCCAAGAACACCATACCTACTGTGAAGCATGGTGGTGGAAACGTCATGCTTTGGGGCTGTTTTTCTGCTAAGGGGACAGGACGACTGATCCGTGTTAAGGAAAGAATGAATGGGGCCATGTATCGTGAGATTTTGAGCCAAAACCTCCTTCCATCAGTGGGAGCTTTGAAGATGAAATGTGGCTGGGTCTTCCAGCATGACAATGATCCCAAACACACCGCCCGGGCAACGAAGGAGTGGCTCCGTAAGAAGCATTTGAAAGTCCTGGAGTGGCCTAGCCAGTCTCCAGACCTCAACCCCATTGAAAATCTGTGTTCACTGCTCTCGAGAAGATGTGCATGGAGGAATGGGCCAAAATACCAGCTACTGTGTGTTCAAACCTGGTAAAGACCTATAGTAATCGTTTGACCTCTGTTATTGCCAACAAAGGTTATATTACCAAATATTTTGGTAATATAAGCTTTGTTGAATTTTTGTTATTGACCAAATACTTATTTTCTACCATAATTTACAAATAAATTCTTTAAAAATCCTACAATGTGAATTACTGGATTTTTTTTTACATTCTGTCTCTCACAGTTGAAGTGTACCTATGATGAAAATTACAGACCTCTGTCATTATTTTAAGTGGTGGCTGACTAAATACTTTTTTGCCCCACTGTAGCTATGTGCGGGTGAGTCTGGTGGCTTGTGAACAGAGAAGCCAATAAGTCAGGGTTTCCCACCACCATGTGTGAAGTGGATAATCAACCGTAAAGCCCTTTGTGTCATGAGGCACAAAGCCTATTTGTTCACTCAGACAGAATCATCAGTGCAGCATTCTGTCCTCTTTATGAATGTAGCCATATCACTGTCAGTGTTTATGTATGCACGGCTAGAAATAAATAAAAAATACTAATTTTACATTTTGGTTGCGACGTTTGGGAAACATTATGGGAGAGCTCTAAACAAGGTGTTATGTGGACTTTCTAAATACTTTTACTTGGTTTTGTTTTGACATATTTGTTCTCTTCAGTGTAAACACACATTGTGTGTTTAAACCCTGATCTCCTCTCCCATTGTTGTTGGCCTTGTGTTTTTGCATCTCTTTCTTCATGGTTTGAGTTCTGTTATTTCCCAGATTTTGGTATTTTTGTGTTTATTAAACCTTTTTGGCAGTCTTGCATTTCGGATCCTTCTTCGTAAAGGACCCAAAATGCAAAATTGCATTTTACTGAATTGAATGAGATAATATAGACCTTAATTTGCCCCACAATGGGAAAATCTCAATGTCCTCATTATGCACTTTCCAGCAGAATAAAAGAAGGAACACTCAGATTGTACACATCAAACAGGATTTACTATTAAAGATAATAGATAATAAACAAAAGAATAGCATAAGTAAATTAAAAACTCTGGAGCAATAACTGCAAATGGGTCAACGATAGTACACTTATGGAGTATACAAGTGTGTGTGTGTGTATATATATATATAAAGTGCTTTCGGAGACCTTGGTCTGTAAAATGCGCTATATAAATAAAATATTACTTTATACACATGTCACAGGTTAAAAAATGTCTGTTGAGGGGGTGTGATCAATAAAACAGGAAGAGGATAAAAAGGGGATAAAATTTAATAAAATATTTACAAAAGGTCCATTAAAATCATGATAAAACCCGTAGTCCGCTGGGCACCGGTGTCCTCCCTGGCCTTGGTTCCCTCCAGGCCCTTCTCCGTGCAGACCACGGGTCGCCACCGGGCACCCGCGGGGAAAAGCCGGCACATCCCGGTTTTCGGTGGGCCTAGCCCGGGCGCGCACGCGCCTCCACGCGCTATCAATGCGCGCCCCCTCACCGGTGCCGCTCTCCCCGCTGGCCTCAGTCCCCCGTGATCTCTGGCTAGCGGTCCTCGTCCTTGGCCCGGTCCCGTGGCCTCTTCCTCTCTTGTGCTCCCTCGTGCTCTGTCTGTACCGTATCGTGCCTGTAGTGCCCGCCCCCAATTTAAGATAGTCTTGATTAGAAGCAGGTGTGGGTGAATAGGGGAACTGTCCAAGGAACTGTGATTAAAATCCATGCAATAAAAATATAAAAACACACAAAACACATCACACAAATAAAAGCAGTTAAAAGTCCTTGTTAAAAGTTCACTTTCCCACACACATACTACAGTGTACAGTTGTACACTGTCTCTCCGCAGGAGGTATTTACAGGTGTTAATATTGTACTTTAGCAGCAGAGAATATAAATAAACAATGGAAACAATAGCAGTCGGTATGTGACTTGTAAATGACAGAATATGTAAAATCTGGATGTAATAATATGTAATAATAAACAGTAACAGTATTGAGGACTGGCAAAGTGACTAGTGAATTATCAGAACAGGTGAGTGGCATGTGTTTAGACTCAGCAGTTCTCATTATACAGAATCACTGTATCTCGACGGCCTTCCCAGACCACTGACCAAAAAGAAAAAATGGAGCAGAGTAGGTTTAAAAAGAGAAGGACACTCCACAGTCTTCAGAACGTTCCAGCTGCCACGCGTCCGGCCAGTAATGATTCCTGTGATACCAAATGGACCACTTCTATATCTGTAATAATGGGGTCAGAGCATCCAGAAGCATGCGGAGGCCTAAGAATAGAGGCTGATGGAGGGTTTCATTGGGAGAAAGGCAGTATTTCCGTCCCACCTGTGCGGTACATCACGGTCGCCGCCGCGGTGAATGAGAGGAGGGCTGTGTTGATGAATTTGAGCCGGTGTGTGAGGAGGTCATCGCCGAGACACCCAGAGCGATTAGGAGCCGTGTCCCCGATACATCAGGGACAATCTGTGCTTTTCATCATCGCTTTTCAGCCGTACGCTTTCCTCTGTCTTTACGGCTCACTGGGACCGGCCTGTCGGACGCGTCGCTGTTTGGGACAGTGCTGCCGAACAAGGTCATAATCCCAATCTGTCACAATCGGACGTAATCTGGAGAAATGTTTTAGGACAAAATGCAGCGTGACACCGTGAGCGAGTGTTGTAGAGCGACCCAGGTTTATGTGAGTTAAATAAATACAAAAAGGGCTGGACAACAATGTGTATAAAGGCGATGTCTGCTACTCAAATATTTATTTGTCAAAATATTGCATATTTTTGAACGTATAAAATGTAGTGTCATCTATCCATCCATCCACTTTCTTCCGCTTTATCCCCGGCAGGTTGGAATAAACATCAACCACTTGAAATAAACATCAACAGTGAGGGACCTCAGCTGTCTATTAAAGAGTTTAATTAATTTTGTCCAGTCAGGAAGCTGTGGGGGCGGGTCTAATTGGTGATTGAGTGAAAAATGTTCAGGTAAATTATGTTTTCATAATTGTAAACCTACAAACAATTTCAGATCATTTAATTATTGCATGTATTTCCCTGATATTTAAGGACTGTATTTTAACTTGTATTTGAATACATGGATACAAATATTATTAGTATTATATTTTATTATTGGGGGCACAATGGCAGAGTGGGTCAGGCTCACAGCACGAAGGTCAGGTCTGTCTGTGTGGAGTTTGCATGTGTCCCCGTGTCTCTGTGGGTTACCTCCGGGCGCTCCTGTCTCCCACCACCCAAAAACATACACCAGTATAAATCTAGTGTGTGGGTGAGTGGTGGTGGTGGGAGGGGGCTCGCTTCTGTCATCGTGAAGTTACGGAGTGATTGGGTAGTGACATCTGTGTAACTTTGGGAGACTTCAACGAGATTGTAAAGTTCTATGATTGTGTTTGGTTTACTTTGTTTGGTATTCTCCATAAATAAGTAAGGCATCTTTATTTATATAACTGGAGCACCCTGAGGAAACATGAAGCTCAAGCGGATGTTCAGACTGAAAGACCGAGTGCCTGCCAGCCTCGAGCCTCAGCCAATCACACAGCTCTGCCAGCCTCGAGCCTCAGCCAATCACACAGCTCTGCCAGCCTCGAGCCTCAGCCAATCACACAGCCAGGCCAGCCTCCTACCAACCCTCTCAGAGCAAAGCGGGCAGTTTAAAAGGCAGCCACTTCCTGACAAACAACGCTTCCTGAGGCTCTTAAACACCCACCACCTCCCCAGCACCCCCTCTGGCTCTTGGCTCCCGCTCTGGCTCCCGCTCTGGCTCTGGCTCCTGCTCCGCCTACGCCCCATTCACACCATACTCTAGCCACCACCAGTGATTGACCCCGGGGGATCTGAGATCATCTCAGCTGCAATCGATCTCATAGCTGCAAGTGTCACTGCCGGGGTCAATGCGCCAAACAAATAAATCATTTTAATGTATTTATCGTGTCTTTGGTCTCTTCAGATTGAACTGCGCAGACACGGGGAGAACATACAAACTCCACACAGACAAGTCACAATTGTAATATATATTGTATTTGTTATAATATATTCTTGCTATATTTACCAAAGATGTGCTTCAGGGTCTTGTATAAGGACCAAAAATGGCTTTTGTGTTGTGAGACTGAAAAATTGCTCAAAATCGTCTGAATGAAAAGCAAAACACACAGACTCCAAATATTTGCATAATGACACCACCTTAATCAGGACAGCGGCCCTTAACAACCTTCAATCAAACTCTGAGGGCAGTCTTGGAATTTGCCCGATAATAAATAAAAGCAACCTCGGCAAATTCTAACATTTTATTGCATTTTTGTTTTCTTCCATCAAGGACAGTTTGCACCTTGTCTCGCCTCGGGATATTTACACACTTTTGAACATCACAAAAGACCTTTCACTTCTGTCTTCACACGACCTGCCTTTAAAGAGCGTTGTCATGCAAGGTCAAAATATCACGAGTCCTGCTTCGTGTGTGCTCTGACCAAAACTACAAAGACAAACGCTGCATCCTGGTGCTGTGTGGTCCCGCCGGAGTCATCCATCAGACAGGAGCTGACCCCCGGAGGATGGACGAGGGCCGGGATGGATCTGCGGCTGCACTGGGGGACTGTGGGGGGGCAGGAGGGGCTGGAGGGCCTGTGAGGATGAGGAGTGGTCCTGCTCATTAGACTTGTGTCCGGCTGACAGTGGCCGGCCTCCAGGGAGACCGGCTCCTGTCCGTTAGACATCAGCACAGATCTGTCTCTTCCTCTGCCTTTGTCACTTTTGTCCTGCCGCTGACTTTAACACAAGCACTTTGGAGAATAAAATAAGTTACTGTTTTAAAGCTGTGGTACCTCCTTTTTTTCCTATTGTATTATAGAAAAGATTTGACTCAACGGAAACAATCTCAAGATAAACTTTTAGTTATTTTTAAAATCAATTTACTTTTGTGTAGCCCTGAATTGTAACAGTAGTTATCTCAAAGAACTTAAAACCAATTTCGAAATTTGCCAACACAGACAACACACACACAAGGGGTATGATGATAAATGTTGATTATTGTTATTGAATATCAAATGTTCTTGGACCCTCCTGCATCGGCAAGGAAAAACTCTATTTACTTTTCTCCCACTAGGTTTTTAATCTCGGAGAGGCCCACATTGAGGGGGGGATCTGTTCCCATGGACAGTCAGGCTCATTGATATCAATCCATCAATGAAAAATGTTTATTTCAGACCATGGAAATGAGAATACAACATGAAAATGTCTGGGTGTTTTTAGTTAAAGCAGACACTGTGTTTTCATCCGTGTGACTATCACATTTGATAGTGATTTTATGCAGAAATATAAGATATCCCAAAAATGTCAGACACTTTTGCATGCCACTCTAAAACACAAATCCACCTAACAATATAACATCAATTTGTACATATATGTTTTGAAAAGGGCTTCTTCCTCCTAACTTAACACAGATAAAATGGTTCACATGCAAAAAAATATAGCAGAAAAGAAACACACACACGCACACGCGCACACACACACGCACACACACACACACGCACACGCACACAGGCCCAAACGTTCTCTGACCCCCGTCCCACTATTCGCTTTGTAAATCACTTTCTCCTCCACTTTCTTCTTTAGTGCTTTTTACAATATGATCATGTGATAGATAGATACTTCATTGATCCCCTTAGGAGAAATCCAGGTTAGTAGCAGCAGACAAAATAAATCATTCTGAAAATAGTATTAAAATGCAACAACACTTCAGGTCACAGCAGCAGAGGTGGAGAAGCCGCTTTGTTCGGAGCATTCTCTCTGCTCTAGTCCAAAGTAAAATGCTGAATGCTTCATGAACATTTTTCAAAAAGTTAGCATTCCTCCAGTGGATTTTCGCCTGATCCGCTTGGTTTGGACCATGAATCCTCTCTGCTCTGGTCTGAAACAGTGCAAAACCATGAACACTGTACTGCAGTAACGACTCAGGTATAAAAAAGCAAGAAAAAAAAACAATTGCAAAAAAACCCCACAAAACTGTCCAAGAGCTACTTAGGACCTGCTGCCATTTCCAGTGCATTCAAAAGTAAAGTGTGAAGATGTTTTTGAATCATTTTTTTATCCTGTGATTATGGTGATTCTCTCTGACATGGAAAAGGCCTTTGTTACAAGATGATTTCAGGCTGTAAGTGAGATTTTTTGCAGTTTCTCCAGACTTCAACACAATAATTCAAATATGACGTATGAACAAATACAATAAGAAAATTGTGTTTGTGTTTAGTAAATGACTTTTCATCATTCCAACACACTTCTGTCCTCGGGTTTACTACTGTGTCTTATTAGAAATCATGTTATCATTTACATTTGAAAGAACTTTGAGAGTCACTGTTGCAACATGTGGACTGAGAGCTGATTTGCTGAGTGAGGGTGGTCCGTTTTTTTTGTCTGAAAAAGCCGATACATTGATGTGACAGAGGCAAAACATGTGTGCCTGTGAAAACTAATGATAGAACTGAATTGTTTTGAGAGCGGGGTACCCCAGATGAGCTTTAACTGTAACTATGAGACCAATGAAAAGAGCCTGCAGCAAGCTTCAGTATTCCTCTATGACCGACTGCTATTGACAAGCTCCCCCAGCGGCCTTTAAGTGCAGCTAATGCTATAAACCCGGACCAGGATAATGGAGATCTATATCGAGCCACAAATCCCATATACAGAATCTAAGTGTGGAAAAGTGGCTTTGTTGGTAATTGTGTTTGAACAACAGCTCAAAAAGATAGTTCTTCACAGAGTGCTCTTCAAAATCTAAATTGTCCTCACCTCATTCATGACAAATTGCTTAAAACTGGGGGTCTCCAACCGTAGCTTGCCGGCAATATCTATCCATTCAAGCTTAAGAACAGTTGTCATTTAACTATTGAGAATAACATTATCATCAATCAGCATCTACAGATTTCCGTGTATTGTTTGCAAAGAAATGAGAATCAGAAATTGGTTTAAAAATAAAATAATGAAAAAAACTCATTCTTTTTGATTGGAGAAGAAAAAAATGAAAACATTGATGTTTTCAAATGGGTTGAACACGTACATCATGCTGTGGCTTTGTTACTGTTTGGTAAAATTATAACAGCGCATAATTATAGTTTTTAACCCACTGTGATAGCGCTGTGAAATGATGGTGAACGAGCAGGGATCTGTTATTCTTTAGCCCCAACCCTGTTCAGTTTGATTTTATTGAGTTTGGTTCACTTTTGTCTCTCTGCATCACTTTGTCTATGTGCTTTTAAGCTGGTTGCTCTGTGTGGCTCTGGAACACTTATTAAATTATTCAACAATTGGAATATGCAAATTAAATTAATAATAATATTGTGTAATAGAAAAAGTGGACTGAAAATGTGCTTTAAAGAACAACTATTATGCATTATTATTATAAAAAATCAAAATGAGGCTTTTTACTTGTCATTACTGTCATTTCATGTAATTTAATGTTTTAGAATGTGAAAATTAAATTGTAGCAAAGGTTAAAAATGTATCAAGGGTAACTCCCTATGCTACCACCAGCGGGAGAAGTGTTTTTTTTCCACTGTACAGCTCGTCATCTCACCTGAAAAAATTTCAGAACTAATTTAGGGGCACTGGTTTTGTTTAATCCCCTCGCGAGACCCTACATTGCCTGAAGCCCCAGTGGAAAGATCAAGGCCGCTCAGGGCTGAGAGCATGTATCTATAACAATAACTGGATAGGGTATTACTAGCTTTCCCACCCATGGGCACAGGGGGCGCTCGAAGTACTGCAGACTAAATTCACGCGGGCTACCCAGAAAAAAGTCCCATAGAACTCAATGTAGCTTAAAACAGCACGACCTCAGCTGACAGAGAACCGGGAGGACCAGAAGATGCCCAAATATAGGCGAGTTCCGCAAATCTTTTGGTTCCCGTGAAGTCCCATGCGCTACTGAGCACAAGCCATTCATTTGAATAGTGCGCCATCTTGGATCACCGGGGCTTGGCTGAGAGCAGAAAAATTAAATCTAGCGTCAATTTCTTTCATCTTTGCAACAGGAAAGTGTTGCAAAGATGCACCCGAAGTTCCACAAATTAGCATGGACAGATCGAAATACAACTGCAGGTCTGTTTTTTGACTTTTGCATAATAGTTACAACAATGATTCAAAAGAACCTCAAAAACAAGGTGTATATTTACATGTGTGTAAAAGTCACAATTACGTTTTATGTCCAGCTGAGTACATACATTTCCATTTATTTTTGTATAGCCATGCCTTGTTTTTAACCACGCCACTTTTACCATTACTTTTATACCAAAGAACACAAAAAGACATCACAAATCAAACTATATTTTGGGCATTTTCATCACCAGCCTCAGATCCTCTGCTGTGTTCTTCTCCAACACTTGATCAGTGGCACCGAAAAATAAATAAAAAAAGCTTCTCTCTGCACCTCCAGGTCTCGGGGCCTTTGTTCGTCTCTCCTCTCATGCTCCTCCAACACAAACCTTTTCCATCTGTGCCTCTCGCTGCATGCTTCTCCACCATCCTCGGCTTTGCAGTATCCCTCCCCCAGGGTCGATCGATAGACTGCAACTGCCTTTCAATGAAATCTCTGCCCCCCGCGCTACCGCAGAAAAGAAGCCGAGATGGATCGAAGTGATAACTCTTTTGCCTCCGTTTGATGGCTGATTCGATGTGCTTTTTTCTGCGTACACTTTGGTTTCCCGTGCGCCCGAGATCACAGCGCGCCGGTGCGAGTGTGCGCGGGGCTGGGGCGGCGGTCGAAGGCCTGTTTGATGCACCAGTGAAAAGGATGCTGGACTCCAAATCGCCGTGGGTTCTGACAATTATCTCAGAGTAACGCAATACACTCTTGTCAGATGTTTGAGTGAAATGTTATTCTAGACTCCAATTCTCCATGTTCTATAGACTCAAATTGTTTTAAAGCTGTTGTTTCGTTTAGAGAAATAAGGCAAGGAAAGTGTATTTATACACCGCAGTTGATACACAATTAAACTCAAAGTGCTGAACAAAACAATATGGAATCAACCACACAAGGCATTAAAATCATAAATAATCACAGTGCATTAAAATAAATGAAGATGCTATCCTTCCGTTGTATTCACAGCTAAACAACTGTTTTAAACCTGATTTGAACATTGTGAGAATAAAAGCCTGTCTCACATTTTCATGAAGACTCCAAATTTTAGCTGTATAAATCTGAAACAATGCTTCTCCATCTTTACTCCTGACCCTGGGCACCAGTATGAGGCCAGTCCCTGTGCTCCTCAGAGTCCGAGTTGGTTCATATGGCACTAACATGTGCCAGGTATACTTTGGTGCGAGACCATGGAGAGACCATGACGAGCCCGTGAAAGGACTCGTGTTGATTGTTCCAACAGAAAGAGAAAAAGACAAATCAGATCATAGCATGTGGTCCTGAATGAAAGAGCCCTGAGTCACTATGTGACACTTTGGTCTGGGACAAGTGTGAGTGTTTTGAGTGAGAGTGTTTCTGTCTTTATCCCTTTTCTGTCTGACAAAGCTGACCTGAAGATGTGACGGGGCCATAAATACAGCCATGTGAAAACTCGTTTTTTGAGAACAAGGATGTCATTCTATGAATTTTGTTGCCGTTATGGATTTCTTGGCGGTCGTCTTGTAGGTGTGACAGAGGCCAAGTGAGACCAGGGGGTGACCACCAACTGATAGAAATGGCACTTGGTGTAATCTGGTTGTCGTG